AATGAGCTGCTCTCTGTGGAGTAAATATCCTATTATGTTTTGCCAATCGCATGAGAAAGCCGGGCAGGGTTTCTGTTTGCCAGGGAACAGGAAGGTGCCCTCCCTGCACAAGGCTGGCTAAGGATGCCCCGTGCCCTCCTTCTACAGCAGGAGCAAACAGCCTGACGACACAGCATGAGTTAGTCTGCAGCCTGCCTGGAGCGGTCACCACCTCTAGCCCGTCAGGAGTCCGACCCCTTCCTGCACCCCTACATAAATCCGATACCATCATGGCTCCTCTCCTCACCACCGCTGCCCACAGTACCCGTTAACACACACATCCCAACATGCTGGGACAAGGGAGTCCCAACTTGGAAGCACGTTCAAACCGACCAACTTCCAGCTCCAGAGCCACAGGCCAAGCGGAGCCGGAGAAGCACGAGGCAGGCGAAGCAGCACAGCAGGCCCGAGGTCCACCGGGGAGGCTCCGGGCCAGGCGCAGAGGCTGCCCAGTGATGAGCAGAGCGTTCGCTGGATCAGACCGCGAGGCCACAGCCTGGCGGGTCTGCCGTTCTCCTCAATTAGTTCAGCCCCTAAAGGAAAAGGGTACCCGCCAGCGCATGGGCCTCACCTGTGGAGCATGCGCGGAACAGTACATACTTCTGCAGTGCTACCAGGAAGCCTGAGCTCACTTTCTTTACCTTGGCACTGAGCTGAACATTTATTAGAAACCCTCTCCAACCATGACATTCAAGAGAACTGGTAGCCACTGTCCACAATAGCAAGACACCAGCAGTGTGTTCGTCCCTTCCCCAGGGAGCGACACCCCAGAGCATCTGCAGCACAAAGACAATGTCAAAGCCAGAGGCAGGAGGGGTCTGCTGCAGAGCTGCTGCGCCCCGCAGCTGGGCCTTCCTGTGCTGACAGGAGAGGAGGCTGGAGCTGCGGGCTGTGCTCTCTGAGGATGGCACCGTTCCGGCACCCACGTCAGATTTTTTTAAATGGAAGTAGAGCATAGCAAAGTGCACAAAGAGCTTGAATCTTAAGTGTACAGCTCACTGAATGTTTACATCTGTAAACACCCATGTAACCACCACTAGACAGAGATACCGAACTTTCTGGTATCTCTCAAGGCTCCCCTCACGCTCCTTCCCAATCAGTATTCCCCCATCCCGAACCACCTGAGAGAGAGGAAGGGAGAGGGAGAGATAGAAACATCGAGAGAGAACATCGATCGGCTGCCTCCTGCATGCCCCTCACTGGGGATTTGGCCCTGACCAGGCACAACCTGGGCATGTGCCCTGACCAGGAATTGAACTGGCGACCTCCTGGAGCATGGTCGACGCTCAACCACTGAGCCACACCGGCTGGGCTGCATGCTTTTTTAAACTGTGGTGTGGTATTCTATTGCATGGAGCAATCACAATTTATTTCTCCTGGAGTGACATGTGGACTATTTCTTTCAGTTTGGGGCTATTATGAATAAAACTACTATGTATATTCTTGAATATGTCTTTTTAAAAAATAACAGTCTTACTGTTATTTCAAATGCACATACCCAGTTAAAGCGACAATTCCATAGTTTTTAGTGTATTCAAAAGTTATGCAACCCTCACCTCTACCTGATTCCCTAACACTGGACATGCCTGTTGTGGACATGTCTCCGTTTCTCTGGGGCATGTGCGGAGTGGGACTGCTCAGTCCTAACACAGACCTTATTTAGCTTTAGTGTTTCTAAACCAGAAATGTTATTCCACGCCCTCACCAACACTTGGTATTGCGAGTCTCTTGATTTTAGCCATAAAATCTGCACCTAGGACATACTGAAAATTGCATTTCCCTACTGAAGACTCACTCAACAAGCTTTAGGGCTGATACTTCTCTCTCCCTTTTTATTAAATACTGTTCCCCTGATATCTGAAAGTAAAGTGCTCCTAGGAAATCTTTCAGAAGCCAAAATGGCACAAGGCGAACAGTAGCCCCACTTTCTAAAAGTTCACTTTCTGCTCCTTTGCTTTTACAAAAGGCCTACATTGGTAGGGTAACGGCTCTTTCCATAAAAGTGAAATCTTCTTCCGAGGAGAAAATCTCCTGACTTGGAAGTGAAAGAAAATGATGGGCATTTTACTTATCAAATCTTAATAATCACCTACCATCTTCCAGGCCAAACATAAGGACATGCCCAGAAATTTATGCAGAAAACACACAAAGCCCCAGGTAGGGACTCATGGCTTAAAGTGAGGCAAGAAAGACACTGAGCTGGAATTCTTCCTGGAGCAGATGCGAATGTGGGCCAGCTTCCCTGAGCCCCGCCCTCCGGGGTCACGCGACAGAGACAGATGAGGAAATGTAACCGAGGACAGCCTGCTCCCCAGAAAACCGCCCCGCAGCACCCCACACAAAGGCAAGGAAACAATCAAATGAAATTACAAACCCAATTTAACAGCTAATTGTGGTTACATGGTTCCAGGCAGTGCACTGTTGGCTGAAAAAACTGCCTTGCCATATATTTGGCTAAATGACGGCTACTTTGGAGTCATATAAACAAGTACAACCCGTTTAGACTTAACTGCCTGGCCTTACAGTCAGATGCAGTCCACAAGCATAGACACAAAACATCAGAAAACTTAACCTAAAGAAAGACTGGGGCCCTGGCCATGTGGCTCAGCTGGTTGGAGACTCATCCTGTACACAGAAAGATCTTAGGTTCGATTCCAGGTCGGGGCACATACCCAGGTTGCAGGTTCGATCCCTGGTCGAGGTGCATATGGGAGGCAACCAATTGATGCTTCTCACATGGATGTTTCTTTCTCTCTCTCTCTCCCTCTCCAGTCCTTGCTCTAAAATCAATAAAAACATATCCTTGGGTGAGGATTGAAAAAAAAAAAAAAAACAGAAACAAAACAACTGGGTCAGTTCAAAGGGCCAATGTAGAAGTAAGAGGGGGAAAAGCAAGTTTGGACTACTTTTTGTAAGAGAGAAATGTTGCACAGTCAAAAATGAGCAAATGACCATTCACACTTGAATTACACTTTGGGTGAGAAAGCCGGAGAACGAGAGCGGGGAGGGATCCAGTGGGGTATCAGGCCAGCAAGATCAAACTCTCACACCTAGTAAATATCTACCAAGTTTTCAGATCCATGTTATTCCTTTCGATTATGTGTCAAAACGTAGCTTTCAAGTCATAAAAGTCTGCTCATTCAGATTTCCCAAGAACTGTTCACTTTATTAGCTCTGACTATGGCAGCTCATTCTCTCATGATACAGGCACTCAGCTCTGCCCGTGGTGTGGCCTTGGCTTTGGGCATGTACAGGGCCTGAAGAGCTCTTGGCTGATTAGCTGGTGTCTGGCCACACCTCAGGGAACTCCGTTCTAGGGAGACAGACAGAGGGTCTTTATCAGGAAAAGGGATCTCAAAAATGGCGCAATTAAAGAAAAGAACCTTGTTGGGGGCAACTGAAGATCCTTCGAGAGATACATGCAGAATTCCCCCTCTCTCCATTCCTGATATGAGGCACAAACCTGCAAAGGTGTATAAAACTAGACCGGCGGCATATTTAAGCATTTGCTTAGCATTCACTTATTTGATACTACCCTACAATGAACCAAGTACACATCAATTCATCCCCCAAAGGAGACCTTGTAAAACTTTCCCAATTAATTGGACTTTAGGTTACGACAAAACACTTTAATTTTAGGTATTTTAAATTATCTTGGATAATAACAGCACCCATAAAAAACCTTGCAGTCAGGAAATTTACAGAAATTCAAAGTATTTCCTCAATAAGTAAACTAAAGCAAATTCATTCAGGTCAAAAGTTGTGAAACCCAGAATTGTTAACATATTTTTGCAGCACAGAACATTGTGATGATCAATGGCACTAAAAATAGCCCAGAAAAAATTAAGCGTTCATAATCGGAAACCAGAAAAACAACCTTATCCAAAAATAGCAAAATGTCCATCAACATCCCTCACTTCCCCATGAATTATTTGGACAATAGGAAATGGAATTTAATTTTTTTTTCTTTTATCCAAAACTATATTTTCCCTCACATGCTCCCTCTGGGAAAACCTTGTTCATAAACGAATAATTCCCAGATAACCAGCTTCTGTTGACTGTTTCCATACAGCTCGACAATAACAGCGACTCCCTAACTTGCCACTTCATGTTCCTGTTGCTTCAACAGTGATGTCATGGAAAGACATCGACACGCTGTTATTATTGCCCAGTGAGATCCTGTAAAGGAAATTATGCTGCTGCCTCTGGGTTTTAATTTTCCATGAAAAATGACTCTCATTGCCACAGCTGCTGAGACTGTGAAAAAGAAAAATGATTTAATTAGGAAACAGCCATAATTAGATTTTTTAAGCATGCTCTTTCAACATAAAAGTTATATTACGGCATAGCCTCCCTAGGTTTAATAATTCATTTTCATCAGACCATCCCAGAACACATGAAGGTGCTGAGTTACAACGGAAGGAAGAAAGTAAAAGGAATATTAAACTGCTACACAGAAGGTTATATATTCAAATGAGATTTTAAATGGAACAGGAAAAAAGGGTGAGGATATTTATGAAGCTGAGAAGATGGAACGAAAGACAAATGGTGAACTGAAGAGGAGTAGACTCCTCTTTTGTGGTTAACTTTTACCAACCAGAAAGACAGCAACAGTTTCTCCACACCCAACAGATGGTGATGATGACAGTGAGAATGATGATGATGAAAATAATAAAGAAAAAAAGCCCTGGCCAATTTTGCTCCATGGTTAGAGCATCGGCCCGCGGAGCAATGAGTTGTGGGTTCGATTCCAGTCGAGGGCACGTACCTCAGTTGTGGTTCATCCCCAGTTCTGGTCAGGGTCGTGCGGGAGGCAACCAGTTGATATATCCCTCTCACATCAATGTTTCTCTCTCTCTCCTCTCCTCCCACTCTATCTGAAGATAAACAGAAAAATATCCTCAGGTGAGAATTAAAAAATACTAGCAATGAATAATAATAATAAAGGAAAAGAAGCCACTGTGCTCACTTCGGCAGCACATATACTAAAACTAGAATGATCCCAAGAAGATTAGCATGACCCCTGTGAAAGGTGACAACCAAATCTCTGAAGCACTGCATATTTTTTTGGAACTATATAAGGCAATGGATGTTAACTAAACTTATTGTGGTGACCATTTCACCATATTCACAAATATCAAATCATTATGTTATACACTTTAAACTCATATGATGTTATAGATCAATAATATCTCAATGAAATAAGAAAAATAATAACAGTAACAGTAGGAAGTAGAAGGAAGATGAGAACTAACACTGCTCAGCACAGACTTGGCCTGGTAAGAGCAAACATGATGGGCTTGTAACAGTACGTCCAGGACTTTTCAGTAGTCTCTTCTGTGTGTGTTTGCTGGGGGTGGAGGGGGACACACGCAACCATGCGCCAGAAATTGAACCTAAGCAGTCTAATTCCAGAACCTGACACATTTGTTTACTTGTCACCTCCTCAGAAGATCAAGGTACAATTCAATGTTAAGCTTTGGAATTTCTTTACAAATATATCTAGTATATGTGCTGCCAAAGTGAGCACCCTACCAATATATCTAAAAAATCAGGTGTAAAGTAAGAAATTATGTTATGTAGAAGTTGTGATCTGTGTGATTCCACATTAAAAAGACACGAAGCTGCTGCTGCTTCTTCCTTCTGTTTTTTCATTGGTCTGCGGGCTGATGCTCTAACCAGAAACAGCAAGAATTTTACCAATGGTCTTAGAGACATTTAAAAATTCCAAACATCAAACCCTAACAGTATCTATTGACAATGATCACTTAAATAGGCTTAATTTTATCTAGCAAACTGGCATAGCCAAGACTCCTTAGTTCAATATCTTGGCAATAGCCTGAAAAAAATGTCCTGAAAAAAAGAAAGACATTAGGCCGTCTTCCAGAGAGCTGGCACGAGAGCCTGAGATGTACGCAGTCACAACTCATAAAAATTCCTATCCAGTTAAGAGTTCTTCCTAAGGATAAGTCAGAGGTTGAAATTTACCGGCAGAATCTTCTCAACTCTTTTAAGAGAAACTCCTATATGGGAAACACAGTTCAGGACAGTGGTCATGTTACTATACAAGGGGGTGTTGTTATGGAGACAGCTGTGAAGGCTCCCTGGCAATCCCAGTGTATAATTAAGGCTAGTGATGGCAGAACAGCCAGCCGGGTGGTCTCCCTGGAAACCATCAAACACACTTTTTCACAGGCACAGCAACTGCTCTGAATCAATGACTCTTTATAAGGGTTCAAAACATTGTGAATGGTGCATCAATTTCCTCTTTTGTTAGACAAGGTCTGGTTAAAAGAGCTGTGAGAGGCCTTGTTCTCATGCACGTTGGATTCTGAGCAGTGTCTCAAGTAGGCAGGCCACAACTAACTTCACTCCTAGGACCAGTAAGTGCAACGGTCAACTCAGACTCAGGACATCACTGGTTAACTTGGTGAAGGAGTTAAACTAGTGGCTGACGGAGCCAAGCAGGGCCTGCCAACCACTAGTGCTCACTGTTCAAGGGCTGTCTAAATATGATTCAACCCTCTCAGTAAGATAGATATTATTAATATATTTGTTTACAAATGAGAAGCAAAGCACGAACTAGAAAGTGGCAGACATGGGACTCGAAGCTAGGTCGAGTCCTAGTTTACATGACTCTACAGAATGCTCTGTGTTTGCACTGTCCTCGGTCGCTCCCCAGCTATCTTCACATACGTTATCTCATATGCTCTGCTTTTATCTCCAAACGTTCAGGAGTCCAAGTTTTAAAACATTCTAATTTTGTAGTATTTTACTCCTTGTTCTTTGACTCCTAACTCCACTCTGCACCCACCACACTCTGCAGGCATGAAGACTCGCATGGGACCACGTCTCAGAAGGCTTCCCCATCTTCCACCCGGACTGTGTGAGCAGCACTCTATCCTACGCAGCATGCCTGAAGCATGAGTTCTGACTGTCCAAATTCTAAATAAAAGCAGGGGCGAACATTCAATTAACTGCATGTAGCATCCACACATACTCTTCCAGGAGGGGAGGTGGAATGTGGTAATAGAGATGGAAGGTCAGGTTGCTTAGTGATTTCCTACTTGACTCTGATGGGTCCTATTAAACACTTTAAATCTGGTAAGTTGCTTAATCAGTCAGCACTGATAAGCAATGATAAGGCTCCCAGCAGATCATCATTATATATAATCCTACAATTGAACATAACTGCCATCAGCATTTAGTATTAAATATCAGATACAGTTGACACTGTTGGAGCTTATGAGAACCATCACATCCTTTAGATATCTTAAGACATCTTCCAGTCCAGTCTCCTTGCTTTAGAGATAAAACAGCCGAGGACTAGAAGGGTTCAGTGAATCAAAGCCAAACAGTAAGTGCTCTTTCCTTTCCTTTCCCTTTTCCCTAAAATCCCAGTCCCCCTACCAAGTGCCTCATGGAAAAGCCTCCCTCCTGTCTATCATTGCCCTTCTGCTGAGGTTCAGGACAAAGGCTTTCCATTTTCTCTAAAGCTAGCCCCCCACACTTCTACCACCTCCTACTGAAACACGTGCTCCCAGTTTCCCCTCATTCTTTAGCATCTTTAAATCTCTGAGTGTCTTCTTTTCTAATTTCAAGCATGCCCAAGTCCTTCTGTTCCTAGAAAAGACATTATCTTCAGTAGCTCTGGCCATCCCCCTGCCCACCACCAATCACGATCTTCTACCCACTTCTCATGTATTCTTCAGTATTTATGACCCATCTGCCCCACTCCCGTCCCTGCCCTGTTACGAAAACTCGTTCCTCAAAGGCTAGCAATGCCCTGGCTCTGGTCTCCTCTATCTGGATCTCTCTGCCCTCTTGGTGGCATTTGCTTTCCTCCTTAAAACTATTCCTCAGACTTTTCCACACTGAACTTTCCTGGTTCCTTCTTTTACCTCTTGGCTACTACGCCTCTTTCCTCATTATTGGCCACCAGCTAAGTCCTAGGCACCTGCTCTGCTCGCCCTAAATGCTTTCGCTCTCCCAGTGAGCTCATCTATTTATTCATTCTCTTGATTTCGATCCATCTCTCTGTAGGCGAAGGACATGCAAAATGCTGAGCTCCCACCTACATTCCACCCCATGTTTCCAACACAGAACAGCTCCCTTTAGATGTCTTTTTCACCATTGTCTGAAAATAGATTTCACCAGCTTTCTTCCTCAAAGATGTTCTTTCACAATCGCCCCCACCCTGTCTGTACAGCCATGAATTTCCTGTGTCTCAGCTACAAACCTTGGAGCCATTTGTGATTTCTATCCCTCACTCCCTGAACGGAAACTCTCATTACCCACTCCCTGTTCTAAAATGTCCTGACATGATGAGTCTTTGTTGCCTAACTCTTTTATCACATTAATTATATGATAAATTGTGTGCTTAAAACTTGTTTTTCTTCAATCTGTCAAGTCAAAGTTGACCGTTCATCTTTACCCTCACCATCACTACCTTGGTTCACCTCCCATCTAAATGCTTGGAACTCATTTCCAATCTGTTTTAAGCACCATCACATTTTAACCTGCTTAAAGCTTCACCTTTAGCCAGTCTCCATCAGAAGGTCACAATGGTCTCTGTGGCATGGCTTTTAGGGCTTCTTGTAACCTGACTCTCTGTGCCCAATTTTCCTCTATTTCTCCACACTCTCCTCCTCTAGTCAAATTTATTTCCTCCTGGTTCCCCACCTGCACATCCTGCCTTGGGGGCCCTGCCACTCGGCCCTGTTTCTTTTCTTCCACCTTTCCCAGGCAGCCAGCGCAGAGAGGGGTGGGTTCAGCCACTCTGCCGCCTCAACTCACAGAGCGCTCCCTTGCTCGGCAATGTCCTCGAATGGCCTCACCTTGTCACTCTGACTTCCCCTCTGGGTGAGAAGGTGCCTTAGGCAAACATTACACCTACACGAATGCATTCCTCCACACCACAACATTCAGATACTCCAAAATATTTCCTAATAGATGTTGACTGATTGGCAGAACCATGTCCAAAAAAAAGGCCATTCAAAGACACTTTCAGCGCCACCAAAACTGTACAGATTTTGTATACCTTAAAAATCCCGCCGAATGCACAGCTGCTCAGGCAGGCAGTAAGTTATGACACGGTGTCAGAGAAGGGCCTGGCCTGGGGGCCGGGGAGGCTCCTAGGGGCAACATTTCAGCGTTCATTCACTGTCGGTAGACCCTGAGAACCAGAGCATACACGGCCAGAGAGGACGGCCACCCTGGCCCCGGCCTTAAAGGATGAAACTCTCACCGTCAGAAAACAAACTAAACCAATCAGGAGACACATCCTAGGCAAGCTACAGAAAATTATTTTCCAAAGGTCTAGAAAGAACAGACTAAGAGTTGTTTTTCTGGTCTACCATTGCCTTCAGGGTATGAAATGGTGGCAGAAACTAAAGCATTAGCTTAAAGGAAGAAAGCTGTCTTCTTAGGGAGAGCGCTTTGAAATGGGGAGCAGATACTGAGAGTCTCGTGGGCCAGTGCTGCTGCTTGGGGATGCGTCTCCTCACTCGGGCCTCAGATGCCTTCCCAGTGGATGTGGAGAACGGCTATCATTTTGAAGCATGAGACAAGACACTACTCAATCCTGGAAGAATTCTCATGAGAACTTAAATCTGCTGGAAAAAAAACCACTAGCAGAAAAATAAACTCATACCGTATCTTCCTTATATGTCTGCACATTTCATTGCTTTTCTCTTAAATTCAATCACATTCCTGCATGAATGCTTTGTATCACAAATGGGAAGGGATGCCAAGATTTTATGAAGATGCAGTTAGATTTCATATGGCTGACTTGACCAAAATGAAGGGAGGAATTTTTAAAAGTTTGCTAAATATTGTTATTTTTAGCTTCTTAGAATGTCACTCAAATTCCCAGAGAGAAAAACAATGATAATAGTGATAACAATACACAGTGACTTAGAAGGCATTTTTCCCCTTCTCAAGCATTCTGAGACCGAGAAACACTGAGAAAGGTGAGGAACAGAGAGGAGCGGATGTGATGCTTGGAAATGGTGACGTTGACGTGACAACTCCATGGAGAAGGCAGAGAATGGATGCTTTCGGAGCAA